GGGGAGGGGAGGGGAAGGGAGAGAAAGTAATTTTACCTTGTTTGGAGGGATTATGTAGGAGGGAAGGTGAAGGAAAATGATTAACCTTATTTGGTTAGAAGATGAAAGGGGAGGGTAAATAAAATTATATAGACAAATATACCCTTCTTTAAGTTTTTTTTTTATATGCGGTAATGTTGTAATTATAATAAGTTCAAAAGGGCAAATTAGTACACTTAGACATAATTTTTTATTTCCCCTCCAAATTTCTCCAAAATTAGAGGGGTGCCATTTTTCCGTCGGGGAGAGAAAATGAGGGACAAAGTTCACCTCCCTTCCCCTTCCTTCGGTGAACCAAACAACAGAAAAATGTAAGATCCCCTCCCCTCCCTTCCCCTCCTCTCGGTTTCCTTCGAACCAAACAATACGTTGATGTCTGAAAACCAACACCGACCGAAATAACTAAAACTTTATAGACTAAAAACCAAAAACCGACTGAATCAGAAAAAAAACCAAAACGAAGATTTCAGTTCGGTCTTTTTTTTAGTCGAAATATGCACATCCCTAAATTCAGGGTGGATGATTAAACTATATCTACATCTTTAATGGCAATCGATTTGGAGTAGCATGAAGGATATAACTGAAAACATCTATAACATGACAACTCTTGCAAGCAGTTGTGCCTTTGATTTTCTTTGTAATTACATTGTTGATGATTGTACTGGCCATGGAGGCTGTTGTGCCCTTGTGTAGCCATGAATGGCTTTCATGTTGTTTGGTTTAATTGTAAGTTTTTCCTATGACTAGGCTTGTATTAGTGATCAGTGGATCACTGATTGTAAGACGGTTTTCTCGTTTCACTTAAGTGTTATATTATCTATAGTCTGACAAAAACAAATCTGGGACATTGATTGCTATTGGGCTAACAAAACTTTGGGTTGATCAAACACTTACAAGTGTTGCACTTGAACAATGTGCATATAATTTCACCATAAAGATAAAAATATTGTATAAACAGTATAAAGGCGATTGGAAACGAAATAAAACTGGTTTAAATTGATTGGATAGTTTTTTTCTATATCTTTTACTCAAAATTTAACTCAGTTTGAAACTGAGGCGGTTACATAGGCGGCGACGACTGGCGGTTGTGAGGTGGGGGTGGGTTGTGTTGCTGGGTTTATGAGGTTGTCCGTGGTGGCGGTCTCAAGTAGGTTGGGTCCATTGATCCCAGTCGCTTTAAGTGTTGGGGGAGTTTCTCGATACAAGGATTAGGGGTTGTTCACAGTCTCGTTGGTGGCCCGCCTTTGTTTGGAAGTTTTTCGTCTAGGACAGGATGTTGGCCGGATTGTTTAGATCCAGTCAGCCATAATTGTACTATAGTTTATGGATCTGCAATTTGAGTTGGAGTTCTGTCTATGGCCGATAATCTCGGGGTGTCGGTCCCATTGGTGTTGTTGTGGAGCGGCTCGTAAGTCGTAGGGGAGGATGCTATTATAATTTAGCAAGTGTTTTAGTGTTTGTGTTTAGCGTGTTTTGTGTTGTATTCTCTATTTTTAGAAATATAATTCTCTACCTATGTGAGTGTAAATTACTACTACTATATGTTAGTTCAGGCTATAAAAGGGTTCTCGTCCTATAGGTCTCTTTATGAATTAACTATTTCAGTTGGGTAATTAGCAGCTTGTAATTATGTGTTTTATTAACAGAATTATCCATTATATAAGGAGAAAAAATAAAAAAAAATGAATGACCATTATTACAATGAAAAGGAATTAATTAATAATTAATTAGAAAAAAAATGATATAGAAATAATACTATCCTCTCATCTTAACGACAAACAAACAAGGCGGATTTTGTCGACATTTTCCCCCATTCCCAACAGTATACACA